CGAGCGTAACCCGCACCACGAGTCACGTCGTTGTACGACAGCAACAATAAAATTGTGCGGAACGGAACAGGGCGGAGTCATTACCTTCCCGATCCCACAAAGTAATAAAATCATTTAAACATATTTTGAATATAATCTGCATATTCCTGTATATTTTAGCATATTATTAACACATATTTGACATATGTCATTTACATATTTTGACATATTTCATTGACATAAACATCCGCAGTCTAGTTATTATGATAAAATATGAATACTCTTAAGTTCAGAGAACTAATACCTAGAATTCACACCATTCCCACAGACAGGAGACGCACTGATTCGGAGCACAACCCTCGTAAACCAGTCAAATTTGTCCACACTTTCCAGCCCCTTTGTATTTAGAGTGTCATAAAGTACGACGGAGACGAAACGGAAAAGGGGACGAAAAAGACGTGAACGCCTTGTCACATAATTATTTTCAGCTACGTTAAACATCTTGTAATTTCTACGCGTAAATTTTTTTTATATACAGGGTGTTCCGCATTTTTCTGTACACACTTCAGCAGTATGTTCTACAAGTAAAAGTAAGACTAAAATGTTACACAACAAAAAATACATAAATGCTTTGTTAAGAAGTTATAACAAAAATATGAACTGTGAAACTTGGTTGAGATTCAGAACATTAAAGTAAGAAAAAAAAATTTGTAATAAAATAAAATCAATTTTTTACAAGCATTCGATATGGTGAGTTTCTTTGTAATTTACTGAACATAAACTTGATCAATAGTTCAAAATTTTATGACAACAAAAAGTTATCATCGAAGAAAGAATACTACAGTACCGAAGATAAATGATAGAAACTAAACTCTGATAAAGAAATGTTTACGTGATCCACACAATTCTACGTAAAAAATATTTTTTCGTGCCTCAACTAGCAGCTACTTTCTTTAAACAAAATTTCAGTTTTGTTTGTTTAACAAATAGAGAAACATCACATTTCATATTTTTGTTATAACTTCTTAACCAAGCATTTATGAATTTTTTGTTATATAATACTTTAGTCTTATTTTGACTTGTATAACACACTGTTGAAGCGTGTACGGAACAATGCGGAGAACCTGGTATACTTTAATTTGTAAAATAAAATGTACTTTTCGTAGCTTCGTTTATTGCTAAATTCGAATTTTTAATCGGTTCTTAGTTTGAATCTATCACATGTTCAATAGATTGTTTTAAAAATTACTAAGTGGGGATTCTTGTGTAACAGATCGAAAAAATCAATTTTTTTTTATTGTATAAATTAAAAGTACTATATTTAAAAAATATGTTCAATTTATTAAATTTTTATATTCATATCTAAAAAAATAACGGAGTTATTCCAGAAGATAAACAAACTTTTTTCTTCGAAGATAACTTCGAAAGAGTAAGATTGATTGCAACTCAAAATGCAAACGAAAGTTTGAATTCGACTATTTGGTGTCTGGGTCCACAACACATAATCTGCGGTACAAAACCAATTGAAATTGTTACTTCTATTAAAAACTATGGAAGTATTAGAAAAATTCGCTGACTCTCACAACGAGATACGTTTGAAAAAAGCAGAGTTCCACAGTTCACAAAGGACAAAAGAAGTTTGTACAGCTATCAAAATGAAAAAAACTTTACAGCAGAAATTGTTCGAAAAAAAAAAGTTTATTATATGGCCCCGAAATAGCGGATTAAAATTGAATATCAATTTTTACGCTGCAAATATCATAAAACATCATTAAAAACTTCGAACGCGTTTTTTCCGAAAATATACTTATCGAATTGGTGTACACGATAACTCAAAAAATAATTCACCAATTGATTTCAAACTTGGTTCGTTGTTTTTGCTATATTTTTCTTCTGGTAGTGAACCTAAAATTTGATTTCATTTTCCATTTATACAATTTTTAAAAAACATTTCATACTGAATTTTTATAGCAAAAGAATTGTCTCCAAAATGCTGTAGTTTTTTTAAATTTCCATATTTTTTGTTTAAAATACGTTCAGTACCAGTGGAAACCAACCAGCTTTAAGAAAATTTTTCGTTATGATGGATGTTACGCTGTACACCAACTATGGTTACATCGTTGAATAGAATTAAAAGACTTAACTATTATTTAATAAAAGATAATACAAAATGGGTTAAAAAAATATTGCTATATAGTTCAAAGGTTTCTCTTCGTGTTCCTAAAAGTCTAGTACAATAAATCTTTTAATTTTTTACTAAAACAATGAAAAAGAAAACTTTCATTTTAACGCTGTTACACGAGAATCCCACTTAAACACTGAAACTACCAAAGCAATTCGACCTATTCCTAATTTCTAAAAAATTTTTACGAAATTTACTCGACTGAAGTTTTGAAAGGCGGATGGTAGAAATAGGCCAATTTTATCAGGCTATGACATTATATCTTCTAAAGAAGATGAAATATATAATTTTTTATCGGGGAAAGTTATTAAAAATAAATGTAAAGTACTCTCCGAATACTTACCCAGTTAATGTATTAATGTATTTCGATATTTTCTTCTTCTGATGATGATCATCAAAATAGTTATTTAGAAATTCACCAAGCAAGTTCGTTGTGGTTTGGTGTCGATCATATCTAAAAAACCATAAGATTACTATTGCGTGAGAGCAGCAACCAACAATCCATTCAACAACTCTACATCCACACGTATGTTCAATAAAACTTTCTAATCCATTTCTATTTTTATGTAATAATATGTACACAAAATTATACAACGACAACGACAACGACAACAACAATAATAATAACAATAACAATATATATTTTATATACTATTATTATATACATCGAAATATGTATATTGTTAAATATTTTAAAATTAATTAATATTATTTTTCAGTCAAATATTTATACATTGCTCCTTATTGCGAACATAATGTTGGTGCATGGGTTGACGATTCTTACTTATACGTAACCATAATTTTATCATTTTTGTAGTATACTTGACACCAAATTATGAAGAATTTACTTTCTATTATTTAAAATGATTATTTTACTGATATGTCACCTTGCAAACAAGTGTGCAATAACTTTCCTATCGTTTCCCGAATAAATAATTATGTACTTCATATTTTTTAAGAGTTATAGAATCAAACCCTAATAAAATTTTTCGTTGATAGCATGGTCTAAAATCGGCGTATTTTTACCACCCTCCTTTACCGTAATTTTCTATAAGAGAATGAATAAATACTTACTTCTATTGCATTATAAATTAACACTAGAAATTAACATTAGCAATAGTTAGAAACGATCGGTATGAAAATTTCCTCAAAGTTCCGGAAACGAACTCGAGACCTCAATGATCAAAAGGACTCTTATACGCGGTTATTGTAAAACTACATAAATTATAATTGTGTCGCTATATTTTAGACTTGTATGATATTAAAACTTTTCTATAAACCCTGTAACGCAGTTTCAGAACTTATTTCCCAGAAAAGTAACGCCATCTCATATTACCACTTCATTTTCTAGATATCCGATTTTGTATAAATTTAGAAAAAGCAAAAATTTCATACATAGGTTTCGTAAGGTCCACAATATTTATACTCGTGCGGCTTATTTCACATGAAATTGTATAAATTTATTCATCAATATTTTTTAATTTGATCTATTCTGAGAATCTCTAATTCTCATTAGTAATTCACTCGAATGGATTTCTTCACCGTAGTTTTTTATAAAGGAACGAATAAACATTTATTTCCATTGCATTGTACGTTTCTTCGCGTATCTATTTTATCAATGTTATTACGAAATTTTTAATTTAAGAAATTAACACTAGAAATAAACATTAGTCGTAGTCAGAAGAAATGGGTACGAAAATTTTCTCAATGTTCGGCAAACGAACTCGAGACCTCAAAAATCGAAAACAAACGTCATGTACATTTCCATAGACTATTCTATTGCTATATTTTAAACTTGTATGTTATTAAAACTTTTCTATAAACCTTTTAATGCATATTACCAATTCATTTTCTAGATATGCGACTTTGTATAAATGTAGAAAAACAAAACATTCGTAAGTTTCGTAAGGTTCACAATATTTATACTCGTGCAGCACGTTTTACGTAAAATTCTCTAAATTCGTTCATCAATATTTTTTAATTTGATCTATTCTGAAACATATATAAATATAGATAAACATCTTTTTCAATTGATTTGTATAGTTCTTCGCGTATCAATCGTTAAGGGGGTATTCTAGTGTGAATTTTAGATTAGAATAGCTCGTTTGGTGGTGCATTCGAACCGAAAAGTCGAAGGGAGAAGGTAAAATCGAGTCGCGGGTAGTTGCCGTGTGTCTCAAATGTCAAGAACGCGACGCGGCGCCTCGTCCCGTGACCGTGCGTGCCACTTGATAGAGCGCCTTTCTTTCGCGTCGATCGTCTTTTGACTCTACCTTCGAGAGCCCCCAGCAAAGAGACGAAGGAAGACGAGGGGCGTGTCCGGTCGCGCGGCTTCTACAAAGGGATACCCACTTCCCTGTGGACCCCTTCCACTTCTCGAGGATCCCTACCACGTGGGTCCCAGGAGTCCTCTCCCCCCGCCATCGGGCCCGAAGAAAACTGGGCAGCATGGTCCAGACCACGAGATCGCCAGGTAAAGCCAGTTTACGCAACGCTTCCGTACGCGAAGCATACACGGTTATCCACAGGATCTCGAGAATCTTTTGCGATTACTTCGACGAGTTGAATCGTCGGCGAAACATGGTATCTTGTGACAGAATCGTCCAGCTAGTTCGAGAAATGTTCTGATCGTCAGAGTACAGCGATACGCGTTCTGCTCGAGGAATGAACTTTCCCCAGAGTATTTAAATTCCGTGATAAAAAGAGTCGTTCCTTGAAATGACGGCCGATTGTAGTCGCTAGAGCCTAGGGGCCGTTAACATGTTCTAAACTCGCGATCGCGATCGTTCCAAGGACAAGGAAGAATACGAATCAGAGATAGAGTCCAGCCGTCGAGATAATGACCGCTTACGCGAGTTTCCAACAGTACGAGCTGTTAGATTCCGAGGGGTACGGGTCGGCGAGCAGCCCGGAATCGAATCCGCGTAGCTGGACGCATCCAGAGATTTACCCCCAGCCACCGAGGTCCAGGGGTAGCAGCTGCGGCAGCGTGAGCTCCCTCGACTGTCAGAATCGCGAGTACCAAGAGATCGGTACCGCGAATGGCAGCTTTCACGTGACCGCGACCGGTTTCAATTTCACCGAGTTCTACGAGGGCTACTACCAGGAAGGCTGCCGAAACGATCATCAGACCGGTCACCCGAACAGCTCGAGGACCGCCAAGGATCACGCGAAGGTTGCGTACAGGATGAACGAATGCGTCGATAACGTTTACGAGAGTGTGACCAGCAACGAGAATCCGACAGCGAAACAGACCGCCGCGGAGGTCGCAGCCAAGGCGGACCACCATTCGGGGGTAAACGTCTACGGGAGCACCAGGTGCGACTTTGCCCAGAACCAAGAGAGCTTCTTCGTCGCGAAGGGTTACGGTGTACCGAAAGGTGACGGTTTTTTGCCTAGGAATAACGGGAATCCGTATGGACAGAGGGGCGACATTCTTTATTTGGGCGCCGCGTACAGCGTCCAGAGGAACGAGGGCTACGTTCAGAACAGCCAGCCCGGTAAATGTGAGACCGCGAGATATCACCAAAAAAACGACGGTCTGCACATTGCCACGATGGAGTACAGCGCGCAGAAGACCAAGGACACGATGCAGAAGATCAAAAACGGCACGCCGGGGATCGAGGTGCTGAAGAAGAGACGACTGGCGGCGAACGCGCGCGAAAGAAGGAGAATGAACAGTCTGAACGACGCGTTCGACAGACTCAGGGACGTCGTACCCAGCCTCGGCAACGACAGAAAGCTCAGCAAATTCGAGACCCTGCAAATGGCGCAAACGTACATATCGGCGCTCTACGAGCTCCTTCAAAGGGAGTGAAAACGCTCCAGCGATCCTTTATTTACGGTAATAACTATTCTTTCTCGCCCGGAATACTCGGGGACAACAAAGTACAAAACAAAGTTGCGCGAGTCCTGTACGTGACTTTGCGAGCAAGAAGAATGGCACCTCGTCGACGGAGGAGTATCGGTACATTGCCAAACCCGGCGTCCCGAGGTTTCCAGTTCTTGCAACTGGAGCGAGGTTTTTTGGATCGTCGCGAGAAGTCTTCTTAAATTGCTACGACACACGGGACGGCTTCGTTGTTGTTCTTCGAAAATGGCCTTACATCGAGACGGAGGGAGCTTTGGTTGCCTGGACCACCGACTCGATCGAACGAGAAGTAAGTGTAAGATACGTAAGGAAAAGAAAAACGTAAAAATGTTTAGAGCTACTCGGGATTCGAACGTGGCGACTATTAATACAAATATCCCGGGAAAGAGCGGAGAATTTTTCAATCGGTTTCATTTTTCGTAGAATGCAGTTTGTCCGCGTATGGGCGAGATAGCCCGAAGAATCCGAGTTTTCGATTGTCGCAGATAGTTTAATTAGCAATAATTGCGGCCCCGCGGTGCTCGTCGCTAATGCTTTTTCCTCGTGCGGCCTTGTTTGCCAGATTCCGAAACATTTTTCAGCAGATCGATCCGCGATAACGCGCCGCGCGATACGAGAAACGAGTCTGACGAACTTAGTAAACCTAGATGCAATTGACATCGATGGAAGGATACGGGGCCGGAGGCGTGCTCTCGCCTCGAGTTTTATTGTAAATACGCTATCGTACATTGTCTTATTCTTAATCGTAGGCTTTCTGTAAATATCTGATTGATGGGACTCTTTTGGCTTTCGGGACCAAGATAAGCACTTTTCACGCACCGGTTTTCTCGTACGTTGATATATGTATAAGGTGTTCGGCTAACCTTGGGAAAAATTTTAATGAGAGATTCTAGAGTCCAAAATAAGACGAATATCAAGAATACCAATTTGTTGATGGAGGCTTCGTTAAAAAGTTATTGATGTTTAAAGTTCCGCCCGCACTAAATTTTTTTCTCAAAAATGCGCAGGATTTCGGAGGTATGTCTATTCACCAAAAATTATTGTAATCGACCCCTGCAATTGAAAATAATTTTTTCAGAATAATTTGAAACTTTTTAATTTCGTCGAAAAATTTAGGCATCCCCAGTCAATTTTTCTTAAAAATTCATTTTTATTTTTAATAAATCTTTTTGAAGCTGTACAGAAATGTTACCTAATACTTTTTTGTAGGTATCTATGAGCTCTACCCCAGAAAAAAGATTTACTGAAATATATTCACTATTGTAGGAGTTATGGCTGTTTGAATATTGGACCATTTTTATTGGGTTTTTCTCATTTTGTGGGGTCAGGGAATAACTTTTCGAATATTTCTGGAATTCCCACATATTCTCCGCCAAAATACGCGGTGTTTGCATTTTGAAAAATTGAAATCGTCCAATCCGTTCAGAAGTTATGACATTTTAAAGATTTGCATTTTCAAGGAAGTATTTCTGGCCTCAAAGTAGATTTTCTGTAAAGAATTTTTTCTCGAAAATGCGTTGGATTTCGGGAGAATGTCTATTCACCCAAAATGATTACGATCGACTCCTGCAACTAAAAGTATTTTTTTTAGAATGATTTGAAACTTTTTAATTTCCCCGAAAAATTTCTCCACGTACTAAATTTTTTTTTCGAAAGTACGTAAGATTTTGAGAGTATGTGTATTCACCAAACATGGTTGTAATTGACCCCCACAACCAAAAATAATTTTTTCAGAATGATTTGATATTTTTTAATTTAATTTTTTTAATAACTTTTTAACTAAGCCTCAATCAAGAAATTGATATTCTTGGTTTTCGTCTTATTTTGGCCTCTAGAATCTCCCATTAATATTTTTTCCAGGTGTGGCCGAACACCCTGTATACGTGATCCTGAGAGAACGATCAAAAATAGTAATAATTGTAAAAAGTGTTTTAACAGATATAAAAACAGACAGATCGATAAGCATTCTGTTCGGCAAGGATACAGTTATGGTCGTAACTAGAAGAAATAGAACATCTTCGACAAACAAATCGAATTTTATCCTTCTTGTATCCTTACTAAACAGAATGTTCTTCGATTTGTCTGTTTTAGATCATGCCAGACATATTTGTTAAAACACTTTGTACGTGTAACTTTTACAGTTGCTATTATTTTTTATCGAAAAAATTGTGAGTACTCTCAGGACACGTATCAATGTGTTACGAAACGACTACATTAAAGAAGTCCTACGATTTCTTCGGGGAAAGAAATGACTTGGAAAGTGGTTTCTTTCGTCCCCAAAACCGGGGGATTCCCTTAAACGCGACTAAGTTATTGCGAGGCTGTATAGGTAATTGTGTACATATATAAATAGACAGGGATCTCTCTATCGTACCGATCGTATCGATCACGTGACTGAAAAATCGTAACGTCGCCTTTAAAGGGGTAGTCTGGTTCGAAACGCGGAGAATATACTCTAAATAAAAATTTCGAAAAAGTATCTTTTTTCGCGTATTGTATGAAAAATTGTTGTATACAAAAATGTCAAGAGGAGTATTCGTGTTTTTCTTTAATGCTTGAAAAAAAACAAGTGCTCGAAAGAAGCGTAAACGTTTATGAAAATTAGAGAATCGATAGGTCCGATTTGTCGTTAATTAAATAGGTTTCCAGATCAGATTGCCTCCTTAAACGAGTTGTACAACGGTACATAATTCGTAAAGCAGTCATCGCCGATGAAATGCTGTGCATTTGTTATTTATAGTTAATTATTGACCCTCTGCGAAGAAACTCCCGTGTTCGCGTTAAACTAATCGAAATTCAAATCGTCGCGTTTGTGAGCACAGACGATTAGCTTTTCCTAATCCGAGCGTATACGAATGGTTAGCTGGAACAGCGAGCAACGCAGGAAGGGACGAAATAATTAAAGTACCTCATCGCGTTTACAAAGAACAACGGAATAATTTGATGGTCGACTGCAAAGTTTTCTCCCGAGGTAAAAACCAAAGAATCTGTAGGCGTTAAGGGAGGCACCGTGTTGTCTCGATCGTGTTTCGACTATAAATAAAGACATATTTTTCTTTGACATGCGATCACGAGCGAAATTGGATCATTAATGCCTTGCGATCAATCCCTCTCGGCGTAACATGTATTGTTTCGTAGTTATTCCGGACAAAGGGGAACGCGATCTCTAGACAACGGAAGACAGCGTTTAAGGTTTCTTTCTCGAGGGACAGGGGTTTCGACGCGGTTAATTTGGAATCTCATTCGGACGCGATTCAGCGGCAATGTTCCTCTCGCAATTAGGGATATGCAAAAATCGCTGGACAAATGGCGACGGTCGGCCACCTCCACTTAGCAGTCAATCACAATTAAATACAATTTTGCGCGGGCTCCGGACCCGGTAATGGTGCAAAAAGAGAGCAAATTGAAATTTCCTAGCTGACAGAATGATAGATGGTGCCGGCCAGACGCGAAAAGAAAGAGACGACCAGCCTCTTCCTTCGTTCTCTGCGTGGTGTGAGAAAGCTGCTCCTCTTCTTTCGCGACCAACGGACGAAAACACAAAAGTCGAGCCACGTACACCGATGATAGCGTAGCCACCGGCTCGATTTCTCCCGCTAATCCTCTTCGTCCTGAGAAAATGCCGATCCGATCTTTCCGGAGAACAACCACGCTCGTCCGGAGACACATTTACAAACCGTTAGTCGCGAAAACTATCACGACATCGGAGAAAAGGTTCCAGCATACGCTCAAAGCCAAAAATATCCCACGATATTTACCCATATTTATTGGTTTAGTAGATAATAATGATTAAAGTATAATTAGAGTAAAAAAGTGTCATCGAGTACCTGATCTCCCATGATTCGGAAAAAATGAGAAAGTTGGTCGTTTCGAGTCGTAATCCCGTTAAGTGTTCCAAGTTAGGCATTGTAATTCATTTGTTCAAACTCGAGTATTTGATTATCTAAATAATATTTGACGAACTTGAAGAAATTCAATCTGCTCGAATGTTTTAACTTGGTTTCATTCGAGTGTAACAACACTAATAATTTGAATTTTAACAATTACTACTTAGCGAGCAGATGTATCAAGATTTTAATAACAAAGAATTTAAAAAAAAAAAATCAAATTTAACCTTCGTGTGTTCTTCATATTACGTGTATGTGCCTTGTTCGGTTAAAAACTTAAAATTGATAAGTTTTCGTTAAACTAATACGCAAAGAAAAGGTGGAATACTTTCCAAACCGGATTATCGCCAACCAGAGCTGGATAATATTCGTGGAAAAACTATTTGGAATACTTTTTTAAATGATAAATACTTTAAAATTAGAATAAAATAGCATTTCAGTTGTGAAATGAAATTTCAGTAAATAAAATATTTTATTTTGATAATGTACAACTCTAGCATGTAATCAATATTTTATTTTGATTATTCAAAGCTGAGGGATTTAAAGTATAAAATGAAATACTTTCTCATTAAATTTTAAATAATTATTATATTTCGAACTGCCCTCAGCCTGAAAATAAATAGTGAAAATGATTAACGTAATGTAAAACGAGATACAGTAGGAATTGATAAACATACATAGATGGAGAAACAAATTTTTGCAAATATTATGATTTCTTGTAATTAAAGAATATCTTCTTTTCATCATTCGGTTCACAACGATTCTCAATAGAAGTATTCATCGAAGAACAATGTTGAATGTACATTTATAATGCAGAGGAAAAATACTTCGTTCGTCTTAGATTACCAAAATAAATATATTTTACACTACGATTTAGTAAAATAAAATTATTATAATAAAATATTTTCACCATTTTTCAAATAAAAAACTATTTGAAATATTACGTTACAAATTTTTCACAACAAATAAAATATTTCATTTTTAAACGTACACTCTGTCAAACAATTAAAATATTTTTAAAGATACATGCACGATCTAAAATTTAATATCTATTCACTA